CACACTGTACGATTTCAATGCACGTGCTTATAATGTCATACTGTATAGAATGCGATATCATTGACATGGCTTTTCATTAGAATAGAAAGAATGGGAAGCCATTTACAGTAAACGTTACGCAGATTGTATTGATGGGTGGTTGMAAGCATTCCCAAGAGAGTCAAAAGACAAAAACATGGCGGCTATTGAGGGGCCGTTAACGATGTGTGCTAATGAGAAATTTTTGTTAAATGGCACCAAYATTGCCTCGATGGCGTAAATAACATGCAGTCGAAGAATTGAACATAAATACTGGATGTCGGAACTGCATCCCACCGATATGTTTTCCATTGTTATTCTTTTATTATCCCTATTAAATTGGCGACTTAATTTCCGTATAATCTCTGGACCCCAGGATACCTAGAAAAAGCAATCAGGTCAGTTTATTTATTTTGAATCGCCTGCTGTTAATAAAAAGTCCTGTTGCGAATTAAGAACTACCATCCTCTTCAAAGAAAGAAATAGATTAAAGTCGTGCAAAGCGACACGGAATTGAATTGGTGTTTGTTTTATCCATGTTGAGTTGTTCTTGTCGCTGTCTTTCTGCAAACAAAGATGACTCTAAAGTGTCAGACTTTTCGATTAGTGAATAGAAAGGAAATCTTGATGCCATTACTATAATTTACACAAGAAAGATGAGTTTGAATGGAGGTTGGGTTTTGGTTATTAAAATGCCGCTTATAAAGATGAATGACCATGCCATTTTCATAAGGGGCAAAAACACGTGATAAGAAGCCATTTTAGTGCTAAATGACAAGTTGTTGTCAAATTTTCTTTCCATTGTACACTTGAAAAATCCATCTAGCTTCCGCTCTGCCTACTTAATAAACTATTTCTTTGGAGTTTATTTTCTAAAACCGAGCTTTAGAAACGATTTTTTAAGTTTCACAACTTAAGCCCCCACTGGCGAATATATTATCACATTCTAGATAAGAACACTTTCACCCCACCCACCCCCTCACGAAACACTACCGGAAATTGATGACGACATACACGTGAAAATGTTCTATACCAACATTTTCCCTAAATCTTAGACTAAATTAACATCATTAAATCATTTGATACCATTATTGTTTTTCAAAACAAACTACGACAATACAAAAACTATTTAAAAACATTGATTTCTTTACTAATCGGCCTTGTTTGGGTTATATGACTATTTTGTAAAGAAAGCTTAGAAAACGTTATTGGCTACCAGACTGTGTGGGAGTTTTGAAGGATTGAAGTTTTACAGCAGAGCGCGCCACTGGAATACGCAATGATTTGTGTCGGACAAGCCTGACGCGTCGACTGACTTCACAGCGGTTAAGGTATCTTCTGGTACTTGTGTTTCTTAAAGACTTCCCGAGAAAGAAGAATTTCCTTGAACTTTCTTCGAAATTGCCAACTTGGAGTTCGTTTTAATAGTCTACAGGGTAAGTGTTGAGACAGGGAGCATTGTTCAAGCTAATTTAAACAACTCAATAAACTCGGTTTTTTAGATAATAACGCCTTGAAAAAAAGAAAAAATTCAGTGTTTATCAACCCAAAGATTCTTACTGTTATCAGATAGATATATTAATCCCAGAAGTTGGTTTTATCTAGCACTACTTGCCTTGGATATCAGCTACTAACCGGAAAAAAAAAAGATTTACTTCCTCTAGTTTTCGGTAGCAAAGGCGAAMATGATGTACGGTTTCTAGATAAAGAATCGTCATCGATGAGTCAGAATTCGAGCTGTAAATAAGAGAAAAAACTAGCTGAATTCTAACCTTAAGCAACGAGAGTTCCTCTATTTTCGTTAGCAAAGGCGAACATGATGTACGGTTTCTAGAAAAGTCTTCGATGAGTCAAAATTCGAGCCATAAACAAGAGAAAAATCTAGCTAAATTCTAACCTTAGGCAACGAGAAAATTTATCGTATGAGATTGAAAAAAAATTATTTTTTTACACAGCAAACGGCATWAAAAAAAAACAAGACAAGAAGCGGCAGGACCGGAGGTAAGACGAGCACAGCTCATTATGAAATTAATGAGAACGAGTTAAAAAAACCTTCGTTTGAATTGAGATTTCTTTTATTTTCTCAATTTTTCTTACTTCAAAACAATTTTGTAAACAAAAGATCMTTGAATCTCTAGTGTGTGCTGTTTTCTTACTTGACGTTTTTAAAAAAACGTTCCCGCCTATAGTATTTCAATAGTGTTAGTTTTTTAGATCCTTTTTAGAATATCTGTAAAGTGAATATGCAGGAAAATCCTTATTTAGCTTTAGATCTTATTTTYCCCTGCTTGCAGGGTCTCTCCTCTTTCTCTCCCTTCTYACTTCACCAAAACAAAAGGAAAATAGGCTCTGCTAGCAGGGAAATCTTGTTTCTTCAAACAGCTGTTTTCTGCATCTAATGTCGGCTATTTCAAAACAAGTAAGTAATCATAAATCCTAGACGTTGTTTCTGTTCAGTTTAGTAATTTTAATCAAAGATATATAGCCCAAGGAAAATAATATACCAGACTCAGCACGCGAAGCCAAATGACTTCGACTCGACCGCGCGTTGGCCGAGAAATCTTAGGACGCTTGATAGGGGGGCATAGATTTTGATGTTTTAATGGAACGTCAATCAGCTTGAGCATATAAAACAATACTTTACTTGTTAAACAAAGCCGCACAGAAAATGAGGAGTKCAACACAAATAAACATAAACATATCACTACTGCAACAGCTAAGATAATAAATGAATGAAATTTAGTTTTTACATTTAGATTTAGTTTGTAAAATAACGGCACGTGCTTCGTAATTCAGCTGGGAAGAGAAAAGAAAAAAACTGAAGATAGTTCGCTGTTTTCTTTTTCCCGATTTTCTTTTTGTTACTTCTTTCTCGCTCATTCATTTCTGTCCGTTTTTTCCCGCTTTTGCGTACCGGCTTACATGAGGTTTTTTACGGTTCGAAGTACGATKCGTTGAAAACATTTTTGAAGTTTCGTCTACGCTGTGGTAGTCTTCATCAGAAAGAGGTATGATAATAAGTGCTTACTCTTACTCGTCGTTTCTCTCTCTTTTGTTCGTTTACTTTCTTTTTTGTCGCCTTTCTTTTTCCTCCGACTTTCTTTCGTTGCTATCTTTGGTTTTAGGATCTTATAGAATATTCCTTTTATTCTTAGTTCTAAAGTTCTATCTATGCTCATTCCCTTTTTTTTTTTCTTCACGTAAACACATTTTTCCATGATCCATTTTCCGTCGTACCTTATACGTAAATTTTAAGAGAAAGCGAGTAAGAAGGGAGGGTTGGGGGGACAGACAGGTGTGCGTAAAGTAAGTCCTTTCCATTTTCAATGTTATCGRCATTATTTCAAAGTACAGCGCTTTCAAGCCTTCTCCCCTAAAGGGGAAAAAACAACAGCCGCTTTTCCTCGTAGGGGGAGTGTTGGGAAGCGGCTAAATCAGTTTACGTGACAGTCATACCCATTTGAGGTATTTTAACATTTTAGTGGCCAATATGCGGTGTATACATGATGAATATTTTATAAGGTCTTTTGTGATATTGATATATCTACATGTGATCGTATACGTAATTTATGTCAGTCGTAATCATTAGATTTAGCCAAGAGAATATTAAGTATTAATATTAATATATTCTCTTGATTTAGCATAGTCATTGTTGAGCCCCGAAAATACGTACTCCAGTTTCAAGTTCTCTGTTGCTCAGGGTTAGCCTCGATTTTATGCAGAATATTCATGTGTTCCAGTGACGGTCCGTGGAATTTCAAAGTGTTTGTATCGTTGAAATTGTGCATTCTTTACTTTATCGTTGGTATTTGTGAATATTTAGACACTGATACTAGGCTAGCCCTGAGTAAATGAGTCTGTAATCAAGAAACACAGCGGTATAGACCTCTTGCATTTGATGTCAAAGGAAAATCAATTTGGGGGAAAAAACAAAAGGATTTCAACTCATGAGAATCGGAATCCTATTGTTATGTCCGGTAAATAAAGGCGCATTAATTCCGACGTGCTGCACTTGGATAATTTGAAAATTGGTATCATCAACTTGAATTGATTATTAAGGCGTTGTCATCAATGCTCATCCATCATCATCGTCATCATCATCATGCACTACCACCACCACCATCATCGTCATCATACACTACTACCATCGCCATCATCATCATCATGCACT